AAAACTAAAAACTTAAAAGACCTATACAGACATAATAAATTCAGACATAATTTAACTAAAATTAAAATAAATAACAAGTACAAATAATACAAATCAAATGACAGTTGTTTATCAGTAATCCTAAAATATCTGTGATCTGCGAGCAGCTGACCGACGCCTCCTCTGAGCTGTTGATCCAATCAACGTTAAAACGCCGATGAAAGCAGTAAGAATAACGTGAAACATTGCTGATGTTCGCGCAGTAGTGAGGGCTCTTTACATTTTGGCGCTGTTGTGAAGACGCATGTCACGTGACAACATCAACATGGCGGATGTAGTACGTCCGAATTCCATTCATACTACTCGCATTCATACTATATAGAACCTACTGTTTTAACGGTCGAGTAGTACGTTCAAATTCAAATGTAGTACCTACTAAGCAGTATGCGATTTCGGACGCACCCTTTGTTTGCATCAAACACCATGCTTTCGCATATATTCACGGAAATAACCAGTCTCATGACTACTATATCGCTTTAACTCATTATGAAAATACACTGTTATGTATTTCATACCTGATAAAGGGGGAAAATAGACATTAATAAATGAAGAAACGGACTCTGCGTCAGTCTGTATTGGCTGTGACGCACAGCACAGCTCGCGTCAACCACAACCTGCAACCTTCGATCTCCCCTTAGTGGACACCTCAACAATTACACTTAAATCATATTGAGTTTAACTCTTTTTCTTTTTTATTACAGTTGAATCACATTGATTCCGTCATTTATATGATCATTTTGATCTTTGATCTTTTTAACCTCTACAGATACTCTCCAAAATGGTGAATGAGATGAATTGTTGAATAAAGTCGTTTTTTCTTTTGCGCACAAAAAGTATTCTCGTAGCTTCGTAATATTACGGTTGAACCCCTGATGTCACATGGATTATTTTACCGATCTCCTTGCTACATTTCTGTACCTTGATCATGTTAGTTACCTTGCTGTCTATGGGAGGGTCAGAGAGCTGTCAGATTCCATCAAAAATATCTTAATTTGTGTTCTGAAGATGAATTTGTCGGTCATGAAATGACATGAGGTGCAAGATGGTGTAATTAATGACAGAATTTTCATTTTTGGGTGAACTATCCCTTTAAATGGTCCCCAATAAAAGTGCATAAAGACAGAAAATTAATCCTAAAGCTTTTATTCACGTACAAACAGAGTACATCAAATGTGGTAAACAAAATCTCAAACATGCTTGAGAACCAATAAGGTGTCTTAAACCACTCGAATCATATGGATTATTTTAACAATGTCTTTATGCACTTTTTGAAGGTAAAAGACTTTGGTTGCCTGGATAAACAAAAATGAAGAGAGAATATTAATTTTAATTTGTGTTCTGACAATGAATCAGAGTTTTATGGGTTTTTAACAACATAAGGGTGAGTAAATGATGACAAAATGTTCATTTTGGCTGAACTAATGCTTTAAAATGTCTTTATAAAGAAAATGAAATGGCCTAATGAATTATTTATTTTATGTGAAGGTTCATTGCGAGGATCAATCCTGTCAACAGCACATGCTCTGCAAAATTCTAGATTAGCAAAAGAAGTGGGAAGATGGTGCAAAGTGAGAAACTCTGGCCTGAACCCTCGTGTCCTCCTTCATTAAGGAGTTTGTGTATTTCAGCTGGCAGCTTTGACAAAAATAGTCCATGCTTCTTGTGTGTAACAAAAGTTTGAGTTCTTTTTGAAGATTCGCTATCGTAGCTATTCACTATTATCATAATATGTTGTGCTTAGGATAAATTTTAAGAATTTTTCTAACTACAGTAGTTAGAATAGTATGTAATATATATAATAGTTTGTAACAATGTTTTGTTTGAGTCTTAACTGAATCTTTTCAGTTAATGTATTTACAGCAAATTAAATGGTACTGTAAATATTAATACAGTATTTTTACTGTAAGCTTAATTTACAGTAAGCTACTGGCAAACTGCTGCTAGTAAGTTACTGTAATTTCTACAGGAAATTTTTAACAGTGGGCTCGCGCAAACAGATAAGCGTGGCATCGGCCTCCGGTCGTGAGCCGACTCAGAGCTGACGATTGATGAGCTGAGAAAACAGCTAGAACACTGACTGAGCCACCTATGCCTGGCCGATACTTATTAGATGTTATTGTTAATGAGGCCGACGTTCTGCTCTTGGGCCGACGTCGGACAGACGTAGGTGTGTTGTCTGGGTCGTAATTTTTGTATGTCCTAATTATGATTTACCAAAGTAGGATTTTGCATGCTTTGATGTGGCAGAAATGGGCTTCCATAATTAATTCTTTAGTATACGTGTTTAATATATTCAGGTGTCGTCTGCTTGGTGTTACACAAGCATTGTCATGTACAGTAGAAATTATGTTGCAATACTGGAGTGAAAACTGTGAGGCGCTACTGCATTATTATACTCATTTGAGAATGATCAAAAGTAAACAACCGCTCTTATAGGCTCTAAGGAACGTGATGCTTTTCTGCACCACTAGAGGAAGTGCGATTGTCTTTCATATAAGCGGTTTGAAAACGAAAGTGAAAGAAGAGACGCCATTTCTCCAGGTAGGTATAACTGCAGCCCGGAGATCTCCAAATGGGGGCGGGAACTCCAAAACGGGGTGGGAGCTCCAAAATAGGGCGTGGCTTCCTCCCATTGACAGACAGTCACATGACACGCATGCGCAATTTTTTCCCCCAATCCACTTCAGTGCAAACTCCGCCCCACAGCTGATTCTAAAGATTTTATTGGTTGTGTCAATTAAAGTGATGATTTCCTACACTATCCTACAAAAAATGCTAACTCCTAAACCTCCCCCACACCTGACCCTAAACGTAACCAGTGAAATTGACTGCACGGCGGGATTGGCGCTGAATAGCGTGGTAAAGAAAGTTGCAGTTCAGGAGATAAACAGTTAATAAGATTATGCGATATGAGATCGTTCCGTAACTCCCCAACCGGACCTCACCGGACAATGGCACCTTTTTAGTTACACCCAGCGTCACCACCCACTCCTACCCTGCGAATTTCGAGCCCCGGGACGCCCCCGTTGCTTAGAACAAAGCGATAGAGTAAAATCTTTCCCCTGCGCTGCGCTGGGACAGCTCGCGGGAGAGCTCGTGGGTGATTCTCGTTTACATCATGAAACAGAGGTTCAAACTCCAGTCCGAACACCACTGGCCAGGAGCTTTGGGCTCTGCTCTCACGGAGAATATGTATGTATATAGCATATTTTATTTTAGATAAACTAGAAAAAATGTTTAATTTATAAAGTTTTATTTTGAAGTCAATATCAATTGGCCGAAGCCAGAGCCAATGGTGAAAGTCTTTGCACGAAGAGACCCCGCCCCATTTTGGAGGTTCTGCCCACTTCTGGAGTTCACGCCCCATTTTGGAGATCTCCGGTCTGCAGTTATATCCTGCTCCCATTTCGAGGAGGGAAAACCCGCTAACACCGACTAAGTATTCAAACGACTGCTAATTTTGTGGTAAGAAAGTAACATTTTCTTTAGGTCTATATAACTATGCAGTCATAAAATGAAGTGCATTTTTTTTCTCGATCTTCCTTAAATGGAATTGTTACCTGGATTTCGACTGCTTAACAGCTCTGAACGAAATGGCTTAACATGCACCACTAAAATTGAGCAAAAATGCAAATAGGGAGACCGGGGATGGTTGTGACAGGGGTCAGTTGTAACACTTCCAATTTCTCAAATAAGGAAGTTACAAATCACCAAATTCACTTCACCCGTTCTCAGTTTAGTCCTTATTCTACATGTGAGGAAGTAGAGCCCGGTGGCAGACACAGCAGATTTTAGAGGAGAAAACCTAATTTTGAGGTAAAAAGTTACTTTTTATACTTCATTTATTTTTGTGATGGCAGTCCTAGCTTCTTAATTAAACTCATCAAAGTTAAATTATGCTTATTGTGTGTCTGTGTAGATATTTTTCATGCAAGTTGTTATAGTGCTAATGTTTTGGCTGTTAGCTAGCTGTAAGGTGAGCTAGTCCATGGCTAGGAGACTCTGTTGTAACAGCATTTAAGCATTTTATAACTTACTCCAAGCAAAGCAAAGCAAGCTATTTTTTTGTTTTATTTATATGTTTTCTTTAAACGTCAGTATGCCTAGGTCTTGGAAAAGAAAGACAAACCGAGGGGTGTCTCTAAATGTTCAAGTGTTCAAGTTCAATTTTATTATGGCCCATTACTATGTCTGACATTAACAAACATGCTTAAACACACACATGCACATTATTCAGTTTTATTATCATCATGCTAATGTAACACACACACACACACACATGTTGGTTTTTATGGTTTATGGGGACTCTCCATAGGCGTAATGGTTTTTATACTGTTCAAACCGTATTTTCTATTGCCCTACACCTACCCTACCCCTAAACCTACTCCTTGCAGGAAACTTTGTGCATTTTTAGATTTTCAAAAAAACTCATTCTGAATGATTTATAAGCCTTTTAAATTACGGGGACACTCAAAATGTCCTCATAAATCACCTTCTCGTTGTAATATATGTCATACCCATGTTATTATACAAATTTGTGTCCTCATAAACCACATAAACATGCACACACACACACATGCACACACACGCACACACACACACACACACACACACACACACACAAAAGTTTTCACAAATCAGGCTACATCTAAAAAAGTGAATTAGTATGGTCCCAGTCTCTGTATTAGAAATAGACATTAAACGTGAAGAACATCTATTTTTCACATTTCTGACAAGCAGACTTACCAGGGGTTGATGGACAAGAAAAAAAATCACAAATTACACAGCTCAAGATGACACTGGTTTCCGTCTTCTAAGTGTTTAACTTTTGGAGCTATATGATTTATAAAATTAAGAGTCACAATGAAAAAAAACAAAAACAGATTTCAGACTGGAGGACAGCGTCACCTGAATTCACACATCATGAAGAACGACATGCGATATTATTTGCATGTCTACGTCAGCGCACTGCTGATTCATAGCTGAAATCTGAATATCAAACCGCAAACTATATTCACCACAATTTGGAACCGACAGTCAAAGACCATCAAGTGAAGCAACTGTTTAGACGGTAACAGAAAAAGGGCAAGTTGACCATAAACTACAATCAGAGCTGGGTAGTAATTTATTACATGTAATCTGGATTACGTAATCACATTCCAAAAATTAAGTACTTGTAATTAGTCTAAATTACATTTTAAAATCTGCTGCCAGTAGTTTACTGTAAAATTACTGTGAAATCACATGTGTACTCAATGAGAGTAAAAGCTGAAATGAAGTGTTATTTCATGTGTTTTTGTACATAATGATATATGGGTAATTTATCAGTGTTTAATGTTCTGTTCTGTTGGGATATAAAGGGTTTCTTTTTGTCTGAGTTTTAAATTTCCCATTATGCTGAAGAGTATAGCCTGTGTTTAAGTCAAAGTCCCTTTAAGCCAAGTCATTTCACTCAGCGGCCGTCTTTGAAACGCCTCTCGGGCATGCAAGTGCAGCTCCTATCTTTTTGAATGGGGAAACATCAAATTCTCCAAAACTGTTTGCCAAGCTTACGATTCAGTGTCATATTTGAAATCACCAATGAAATCTGACAAAAACTGTCTCATAAATGTTGTTATTTTGCTCAAATAGTGTTAAAAAGCATATTTTCCAGGCTAGTTTCTATATAGGTTCTATATATAGCAACTGGGACTTCTAACGGTCGCTGCAGTGACACTGACTTTACCGATTAGCAATTGGCTCTTTTACTCAGAAGGCAAGGCTTCCTTTGAAAGAACGGCCATATTGAGCGTTGCATTTTTCCCCATTCAAAACTATACAAGTGACACATCTTGGGTATTCTATAGTCTTTGGTTTAAGTCAAGGTTGAGCAGAGAAACCATAGATATTTATACATAGATTCCTCATTAGCGTCTGTTTCTATGGGCCGCTATATGTAAGCTGTCTGCCATATTGTAATGGTCAACTTGACGTCATTCACCATAGTAATCAATGGATATTTGAAGATGCCACAATCCTGCACAGCCGATGGTCTGCGAACCCATAGTATGGTGAATGACATCAAGTTGACCGTTACAAGATGACGGACGCGTCTACGTGCTTGGAGTGGTCGAATGGGGCATCTATACATATCTATGAGAGAAACATCGATGCTCTGTTGCATATTGTTTTTATTTAAAGGCAGTAACCGTAGTTGCTGATGATCTAGTGATTATCTCTTTGCTAATTAATCACACATGCATGCTGTTGTTAGCTAGCAGTTCTCTGTAAGAGATTTGAGAAAAACTGATGTTTCTAGTTTAATGAATTTTTTATGTCTTTTATTTTAAGATTTCTTTTTTTTTTAAGTGGACTCAAATGAAATATAGTTTAGAGTACTAATATGCTCACATTTTTAACACTATAAATATTAGTTTATAAACATAAATGGCAGTTGGCAAATTTAAGGCAGTCAATTTCTGCAAATGAAAGGGAAAAAATAGTTTATTACAGTAATATACTGTAAAGTAGGTAAAGAACTGTAAAATTAACAGTAAACTACAGGCAAGTGTGTTGGCAGTATTTTTACCGTTAATTTAAGGACAATTTTTACTACACTGTAATTCTAAATACAAAAAATAATCTAAAAATAAACAATACTTTGCAGGTGAAGCTGCTGCCAGTTAATTATTGCTAATTTACATTGAAAAGTTTTGCAGTGAATCTATCTCTAACCAGTATAAATTTTTCTCTGCAGAGACAGACGGAAAGTACTGAGGATTTGCAGAAATACTCCTTAACCATTTCAAAGGACATCATGAAGGCAAGTGAAACGTTAAAAGGGAAACATAAAATCTCCTATATGGGAAATTATAGCAAATATTGAAATTATGTCCCAGTCATGACTTGTGTGAAGCTGTTATCAGGGCTGCCAGCATTGCTTACCTGGTTGGAGTGAGATTAATGACATGGGTTGAATCAATTACACATGCATGCATTTGATACTGGTATTATCTTACTATCTTAAACTTCTAATTTAGAATATGACCAAATCAAACCTACAGTGCAAATAATGTTCCCACATTCACTACGGCACATCATTGCATATTTTGTTATTTGTTGTGCTTTCGATTCGCTCTCGCAGTACTTTGATGTCAGACACCGACTGGTCTGCGCAGTGCTGCTTCAAGTTGAACACACCTTATATGTACGTGTATCTGCATCGCCTTTGACCGTTCTCTGTAGATCCCACCTTCTCACACGCCATGATCGGACGATTATGTACAATGCCTGCATGTTATCCGGATCGGCTTTCACCGTGGACGAAGCGGAGTCCAGCCCGGGGTCGTCACATGTGGTTGCCGCAAGCCCTCCGGACGATCCTTCGTCGAATCTGCCGGCCGCGCCATTCTCAAGCCCCCGGGTTCTGACTCAGAGACTGTAAGTACATTTTTTATATTTAAAGAATTTGCCACTGATGATTCAAACGCGAGTTTTGGGCAGTGTAGAGTAGTGCTTGCAGCTACAGGTGGAGAGAAGAGCGAGATAGATAGAGCCAATTCAATGGATGGGGATTATTAGGAGGCGATGATTGACAAGGGCCAGTGGAGGGAATTTGCCAGGACACCGGGGTTACACCTCTACTCTTTACCAGAAGTGCCATGGGATTTTTAATGACCACAGAGAGTCAGGACCTCAGTTTAACGTCTCATCCAAAGGACGGTGCTTGTTGACAGTATAGTGTCCCCGTCACTACACTGGGGCGTTAGGACCCACACAGACCACAGGGTGAGCACCCCCTGCTGGCCTCACTAACACCTCTTCCA